GTGCAAAAGACTTTTTCCTACATCAAACCCAAGAAATTTCATGTTTTAGTGTTGTTCATGGGATGAAGCAAATGTACAACAAAAACCACATAAAGGAATAATTTTTTTAATGAAAAGCTAGTATAACCAAATCAATTCAACATTATCATGCAATCTACATCACACAGATAACTTGCAGAGCAAGTTTTGCTATTCGCTTTCCTTTACACAGAGGCATGTTTGTGAGTGAAAAACTTGAGGAGGATTAAAGGGGACTTAAATCAGTTCAGATGGGAAATGCGTGCCAAAAAAACCACCTTCATCAACAATATCAAAAAGGGAAGAGGAAGTGATAGACTGAAGCAATTGTCTCTGTGAGATGGAAGACAAAATATTTTTGCATAGGAAGCCCACACTGCATTTCCCTTTCCTCAGGAACCTTTAGATATCACCAAACCCAATGGAAAGCAGAAACTTTTTACATGAGTCCTATCCCTAACTTTATTCTTGAGAGAGGCGAAAGAGCTGCATGTACCTCTCAGCAATGATGAGGATCTTTCAGCAGAGAAGGCAAAGATAAAGAGTCCTCTTCCCTTTGGGCACACAAAATGACCATGTTAACCTCTAGTAAACACAGCTTTGGGCTTCTGGGTGCTTCCCGGCAAAAGTGCTGAACAAGCTCCAAAGGCATCCACCCCTCCCTGAGGACCTATATGATGTCAATATCTGAAGACTGCACAGTGCCACTGTCTCCTGTTGCACAACTAGGCATGACCTTGGCACAGTCCAACACACATCCTACCATGAGACACGATATATACTCAATTACCATGTTCAGGAAGGCATATACTTGTGCCCCAGGGGGGCTTTGGAAGCAGAAGGAGTTATGTCATCATGCTAAGTTTCCATATCTGAAGGGTCCTCAGGAAGAGATACAGCACTAGAGGCATGGCTGTATTCATTCTTGGGCCTGAGATCAAGCAACCACTTCCATTTCTTAGGTGCTTAAGTATTGTTATTCAGAAGGAGCTTTCCTATCAGACCAGGAGAAAAAGCATCTGAAAAATAAGAAAGTGTCTTTTAACCTGGGGTTTTTTTTTTTTTTTTTTAAGTTCAAGAGTTAACCCCAGAGCTGTCAGAAACTTATATTCTGATTCTCTGTGTTTACAGGAATGGGTTTTGGTTTTTTCACCCAAAAGTCTACTGGTAAGTATGAAAGCTAGAGGAGTAAGAATTCAGAATGACTACATGGACTACGTCTGGCACCAAAGCTGGATTTTTACAGCATTTCCTCTGCAACATTTACAGTAACTAATTGCTCACTTGAATGTTTACAGAAGCTCCTCACATGTCACTGCAGGCAAACCACAACTTCATGTTTATACAACATCAAAATGCTTGGTACATGCCTGTGTCTTTCACAGGTCATGCAATCAATTCCATTCCTTCTTAAGTATTTCCAAGGGCTTTTAAGTGTGTTGAATATTTTCCTTCTTCTGTGCTTGTCTAAACTGGAAATGTTTACTAACTTCAGTCCTGATTTGTAAACTAAGGACCTCCAGATTCCCAATTACTTCTGAGGGTTCCCTCCTAAACTGAGACTCTTCTCAGCACAAATTAATGGCATTGAGAGAGTGTCATGCTATTTAGCTCTCCCTCTTTAGTTATCTCTACCTTTTTGGGGGGAGGGGAGGCAGGCCATTTGCCAGGCCCTTGAACCAGCTCTGTGCCACATGGTTACTTTAAGCATACTTAGGCTCAGGTTGCCACCACAGAAGAAAGCCCTGGATTCCCCACTTTGGTTCCCAGTTGTGCTTTCTGGCCCGTGTCTTCCCTTGCAGCCCCTGGGCAGCAGGTGCATGGCACCGGGGAACTGACATGGCCAAATTCTCTTCAGACAGGTCAGTTCAGTGCAGCTTCTGTGCTGAACCACTGGGTGGTTGCAGGGATTGCTACTTTTCTGCAGCTGTTGTCACTTATCTTGAAGTTAGTTATCCACACTGACATCAATGTTTAATTTTACTTCTCCCCTCAAAAGGATTGTCCCACTTCTGTCAGGTCTAGAACACTTAAACAAAAGACACTATATCCCTGTTTGTTAGTGCCTGAAGTAGTCACCTATGCAGTACTAAAAATCAAAACTATAAAACATAATTTAAAATATGTGTTAGAAATACATAAACAATAATCTTCTCATCACAGACATCCCCACTGAACGTTTTTCAAGGACACAGCTTTTATTGAAATTTCACTTGAGTTTCAACCTCAAAAATATGACAGGTTATGTTAGCCCAATCCTACCTTACATCACACTAAGGTTAATCCTCCACTCAGCTCCCTGCTGTGCGAAACTCGGGAGGTGTGCAGGGGTGTGCTTCAGAACTGCCCCTCAGAAGTCCTCCTGACTGAACAAATACACTGGAAGCAGTTGTTGTACAAAAGTATGCAATCATGCACGTACCAGTGCTGGTATTTTCTGAACTTTTATCCAGAGACAGGTCTCACTTCATTCTTTTCCCCTCATGTTTCATTAGATCAGCTACAGATTTTGCTTATGCTGGCTGCAAATTCTGTTTTGACCAAATACATCTTTGGACACTCCCTATTCCACTTCAGTTATACAAACACCCTCTGACCCAGCCCTCATGAAGTAGTCACAATAAAAAACCCATTTCCTGCCCCTCCAACCTGTTAAGGTATTTTTAGTTGAAATTGAATGCACATACCTGTGGCAGGTGAGGCACCAGTGAGAATGTGGGTGTGGCGAGATCTTTGCTTTTCTAGTGCCAGTTGCTTCTGCGGCTTGTCATTCCAAATCAAGGGAGGTGGCCAGCTATCTAGGAGTCACTCCTCTCAAGGAGGCTCTGTACCCTTTCACAAGGAGCAATGTTCTTGCAACTACAGGGGAGGGATACAGAATCTTTGATCCCATCAAGGAGCAAGACTGCTGCTGTTGCAGCCTGTCATATAGGAAAGAACACAAAGAGATGCTACAGACTCCAACAAGCTATTAAAGCAAACATCGTGCTACTTCTGAAGGGAAATTACTCTGTCCTACCTCCTCCAGCAGTCCTGTGCCCTACACATCACCTTACAAGATTGTTTCAGGACTGACTATGCATCGCATCTATTACATAGCTGGGAATAACACTCAAGAGGTTTTCCAGCGTCCCAGGACCCTCAGAAGGATTTAAGCTTCCTTTGCTGATACTGGAACCAACCCTGTCCTGCTTGTGAAGAATAAGAAATTTTGTTCAATCATGCAGCAGGACAGAAGACCAGTTGGGAGTGTTCCCTTGCTCCATAGGGAAAAAGCATTTGCATCTCTACCCACATGCTCACTCATTTTATTCCTCTCTCTCAGGTACATTCTAGGGCTGTTTCCTCTTTCCTGTGGGGTTTCCCACCAAATGGCCCCATAGAATTACCATGTACTCTATCTGGACTACAGCAAAGCCTTTGACATCATCCCCCACAGCATACTCCTGAAAAAGATGGCAGCCCACAGCTTGAAAGGTGCACTCTCTGCTGGGTCAAGAACTGGCTGGAGGGCCGGGCCCAGAGAGTGCTGGTGAACGGGGCTGCATCCAGTTGGTGGCTGGTCACCAGAGGTGTCCCCCAGGGATCAGTGCTCAGCCCAGTCCTGTTTAACATCTTTATTGATGATTTAGATGAGGGAATTGAGTCCATCATCAGCAAATTTGCAGACGACACCAAGCTGGGGAGGAGTGTTGATCTGCTGGAAGGCAGAAGGGCTCTTCAGAGGGACCTGGACAGACTGGAAAACTGGGCTGATTCCAATGGGATGAGGTTCAACAAGGCCAAGTGCCGGGTCCTGCACTTTGGCCACAACAACCCCCTGCAGCGCTACAGGCTGGGGACAGAGTGGCTGGAGAGCAGCCAGGTGGAAAGGGACCTGGGGGTGCCGATTGACAGGAGGCTGAACATGAGCCAGCAGTGTGCCCAGGTGGCCAAGAAGGCCAATGGCATCCTGGCCTGGATCAGGAACAGTGTGGCCAGCAGGAGCAGGGAAGTGATCCTTCCCCTGTACTCTGCATTGGTGAGGCCACACCTCAAGTGCTGTGATCAGTTCTGGGGCCCCTCAGTTCAGGAAAGACACTGAGGTGCTGGAGCAGGTCCAGGGAAAAGCAACGAGGTTGGTGAAAGGACTGGAGCTCAAGTCCTACGAGGAGAGGCTGAGGGAGCTGGGGTTGTTTAGTCTGGAGAAGAGGAGGCTCAGGGGTGACCTCATCACTCTCTCTAACTATCTGAAAGGACATTGTAGCAAGGTGGGTGTTGGTCTCTTCTCTCAGACAACCAGCAGTAGGACAAGAGTCTTAAGCTCTGCCAGGGGAGGTTTAGGGTGGATATTAGGAAAAAAATGTTTACAGAGAGAATAATCAGACATTGGAATCCAGACCAGGGAGGTGGTGGATTCACGGTCTCTGGAGGTTTTTAAGATGAGATGGATGTGGCACTGAGTGCCATGGTCTAGTAAATACAGCAGTGTTGGATCAAGGGTTGGATTTGATGATCCTGAAGATCTTTTCCAATGGGGCCGATTCTATGTTCAAATTTCTGTGCTTCCACCCTTGCCCATCTGTGCTAGGACCCATGTAAAATACACACTTCCTGCTTTACAAGAATGCTCTTAGCAGCCAACATATCCAAGATTTCTTCATTTACTATCTGCCACTGATTTTGGACAACTTTAGAGCTATCAAACTTGAAGATATTTGGGAGATTTGAGTAACTGCTCCAAAATAAAAAGGACAAAGTGAGAACACTGGCACTCTTCCTGGACCAGAGAGTACGTCTGTTCCTCATGAAGAAACAGACCCAGTTTTTTTGGAATTTTTTTGCAAAATGTGCTGCCCCTTTTATGAAAGCATAAAAGCATTCTAACTAGCATAAAAGTGTATACTAGATTCATCCTGACAATGGGGAATAACCACTGTGCTCATCTTGACTAGTGCAATAGTTTCTACTTTCCACCTAGATCTAAAAAAGACTATTGTGAATATTGTTTTTCATGTAGCAGAAAATCCAGTTAATGGACATTACATTTTCATGTTGAGTGATATGGAGGAACTTTTCATTCTCTGCCTACCAGGAGAAACGTCATCCAGCTTGAAATTTTTTATTGCCAATGAGAACTAGCACTAACCTGGTTAGATATGAAGGTAAGCACACTTATCCCATTCTTGCAAGAGTCTACTTATATGGTATGGAACTCTGCCTAACACACAGAAATAACTAGGGAAACAGAGCTTCTATGATACCCGTTTTTCTTCACCATCTTGCTTGTGAGCTGCTTTCCTACGTTAATATCCCCCTCTTGTGTTCGTTTACAAGTACTACAAGAATCAGCAGCAAAAACCCCACCCAAACCCCAGATCTCTTCCTGTATCCTGTCAATCATTACACATTCTGGAGGGAATTCCAAGCAGTAAATAGCCTCGTCCTGCCAAAACTGATGCTCCCGTGCTGGGCCACTCTTCTGCTGACATATCGAAGGTATTCATGTCACATGTGAATTGCTAAGATTGACCTAAGAAGAAAACTTTGTGGCAGAGCAAATATACAAACCGAACAAAACAGGTCAGTGAAAAAACAAGGATAATCAGGTAGCTTTAAAATTAACCCAAATATATTTGGAGTTCTCCACATAACACATCCCTGTGAAAAGTCAGTCGTTTCTTTTAACTTTTTCTCAGAGATCTATCTGACCCCAGATGCACTCAGTGAGATTGGATAGTGAGACAGGCTGCAGCAGTGCAACAGCTGCACTCACACTGCACTTCTTCATGAATGAGCAGGGCCACACCACAGCTGCTTACAAGTCCAGAGGTGACAGTCTCTGATGATGTCTTTCAACGGAAGACTGGTACTATGGTACCACAATGGTCCAAGCTCAGTCTGTAGCTGGTGAAGCAGAAGAGTTGTTGTTTTCCTTGTGGACCACCCAAGTTCACATGTAGTTTTGAAAAAAAATTCACTAGAGATGGCTTGGTAGACCATTTTTGCCAGTTCATACAGCCATGAAGAGAAAAGTTAAAAAGTCTGTTCAAATACCAAACTAGAAGGCTTTCCTCTTCTTCTTCTTCTTCCCACCTGCCACCTTATTCCTGACACCAATAGCTTCTTCTGTGTCATCATCATCATTCCGAGATCGCTTCTTCTCTCCCTGCTCCCGCAGCTCCTGCAATGCAATCAACAGATTGACCCAGAGTTCTGGTGCCTGAGGAAATTCAGATTACAACAGTGAGCAGAGGGACAAAAAGTCAGCACCCACCATTCGAGCAATTCTCTGGGCCTCAGCCACACGCTCTGTCAGCATCATAACTTCTTCCTCCTGCATGGGGAATGCTGGCAGCTTTTTGCCAATCAGGTGTTCAATGCGCTGGAATAGCTCCACATCATACCTGCGAGAAGACAAGACACCAGCTTGAATCAGCCCTCCTGAGAGTGCTTCAGCTGTCACCACTCAGAGAATTCATCCTTTATCTCCAGCCCATAGATAGATTGTGCTTGTGGTCTCACAAGCAACTCAACTGCATCTGAATGATGCAATTGTTTGGGGTGGCTTCTCTGATTTATTCAGCTCATCTCTGTTCAGAAGGATATGAAAAAGACCTTTTTAGACAAACGGTTCAGTAGTTATAAACACCCCCTGCAGTTACTTAAGCTGTATTATATATTACAAAAATGTATATATATTATACAATTCAGTTGTAAACACTTCTGCTCATTACATGCCTGATTCTAGAATTTCTCTAGACCTTTCTCCCTCCCCGCCCTGGGCTTTGAATTCTCTCCCCTTTAACTAAATAAAACCAACTGGCACCTCAAAATGAAAAGTAGTATTTTCTTCTCATGCAGGATCAGGTCAGGTATTTTCTGCTCTGAAACAAAGTTGGAAAGAAAAAGTCTGCCAAATTTTAACACTTACTGTGTGACAAAGGTGATAGATTTGCCAGATCTTCCAGCTCGAGCTGTTCTCCCAACACGATGAATGTAATCCTGAAAACAATATGCTTGATAAGCAATAAGATATGTTCACCAAACACAGAACAGACATCATAGCAAATCAGCCTATATAATTATTCTTTAGGAAAGAACAAGAAAATGGGGAGAAAATACTCCAGGATTAAACACTCAGGACCACGTGCAGCATCAGAATTAGAGAAGATGCTGGCTTGTTGTGGCGTTTCTTTGGTTTTAACATTTGAATTCTTCTCTTTCTAAAGGTGAAGACCAACTCCATTTATTCCAGACTGCAGGACAAAAGTTGCAATATGTGACCTTGCTAACACTTCACTGTCACTTCCTTAGAAAGCTAATATTCACAGTGAGCCCATGCCTGCATTTTCAGTCTTCGGATCTAGTGCTCTGCATAGTCTATCTTTCAGAAACACTCTTGGACAAGTAGATTTAAATTTGGCAAGCACAGTGAAAAGGAGGATGATTGAGAATAATTTGGAAGAGCCTGATCTATTGAGCATCTTCTGTTAATAAGGTTCTAGGCTGTTTTCCAGGTTTTATACTGCATTACAGAAATTAAAATACTCCCTTCTCCATACAGGATCTGTGGAGAAAGAATCATGAGAAAGGATGTGTTCTGTGACAGGCCTAGATGAGAAAGAGCACAAAAACTGTAATAAGATCATTTAAGCTGCTGCCACCTCCATTTTTTTTCTTTATGTTTGTCCTTTCATAACACCAAAAGTAGTTCTTTGAAAGATCATGCTTTCTTATTTTTCAAGGTATAATATCTTTAATCACTGTAAGCAACAATAGCAATTCCTGAAATGCATGTTAACGATATGTTTTCTGGAACAAGGCTGAGAAACAGTCACATCTCTGATATAATCCTATACTTCTTGTAAGAAAGTTGGTAACTCACTTTTTTTTCATTTGCTGTACTTCTGTGATATGAAGGTGAAACATAATGTGAGTCACCTTTCTTGATTAAATGCTCATTGAACATAGTGGGAGAATTTTTTTTTTTAAAACACAGTTTAAAATATGAAGGCAGACCTGGAGCACAGAAACACATGAGGCTAGTAATAAGTTAAAACTATTTTCAAAGCCCTTTAATGCAATATGGCAAAACACATACCCCGAACAGAAATGCATAGACACAGAATGTTCCTTGCTTCCCCTCTTCACGTATGGGATCAGTTCTACAACCCAGATGAGGCCATCCACCCAAACTGAGATACCAACTCAACTGCAGAGGCTGAACTACACCTTCTAACCTACAGAAGTGTGAACTAGGCTTCCAATCAGAAGAACAGAAAAACGATGTCTTTGTTCCTTTGTCTACCTGCACTATGCTCCAGGTGACCAGAAGCTCTCAGCAGACACAAAGACAAACCTACCTTAGAGTGCGTAGGAATGTCAAAGTTTATCACCACATCTACATGTGGTATGTCCAGACCTCTGCTTGCAACATCAGTAGCCAGCAGAATAGAACGTGCCTTTGCCTTGAACTTGTTTAGAGAGCCCAAACGTTTGTTCTGAAAGAGGACAAAAACGGAATGAGAAAGTAACACTCATTCTAGTTAATATGCTTCTGTTGAAATACTGGTACAAAAGCACTAGGGGAGAAGCTACTCAAAAATCTCACTTCTCTAATTTCTTTTTGAAATATTACAGAATCAGTGACAGCATTCACATCAGTTAAATCTTCAGGGATCAGTCTAGTCCACTAGCTGTGAAGTACTCCCTCTGCAAGGTAGCTGTCACTCAGTATGGTGCTGCCCATTTCCCAAGCCACAGGTCTCCCATCTGCTCCATTCTGTGGGGTAGTGCCCATACCTGACTCATCTGCCCATGGAGAGGAATGGCAGTGAACCCCAGGTTGCGGAGCAGTAGAGCAGTCCTTTGAGTATTGTTACATGTACTACAGAATATCATGAAAGAGTTCCCAGCTAGTTCATTCAAGATATAAACCAGGTAGCTGTCCTGTAAAGAAAGAAGAGAGAGAATTTACAAAAAAAATTGAAATAATCATATGTGCAACATTAAAGACTAAGTCTAAGCTACAGAAGATGACAAGATACTGGGAAGATGTTGGAACAAGACAAGATGCAATGAGATAAGGGAAGAAACAGAAGTGGCATTACCTTAAATTTTGAGGGAATGAAAATATAGTACTGCTGTAGTTTTTCAACTGTCTGATACTTGGAAGAAACAGCACATTTAACAGGATTCTTCAGAGCAGCACGTTGGAGTTTTTGAACCTGGTAAGATCAATGTAAGTTGTAACTGGATGGACAGAGATCTTGTCAGAAACCTGTATTATACAGTTTAGTCAACAGGATAGCCTGATAGAAGAACTAAAGCAGAGTACTCTGCTCTCACCTTCTTGGTCATGGTGGCAGAAAACAGAAATGTCTTCCTATCTCGAGGAATCACTTTTAGTATCTTATCCACCTGTAAAAAAGAGATAAGGAAATGGAAATACTGAATATTGTGAGCAACTAAGACGCAAGCCTCCCTCAAATATAATGATCATCCACATGAAGAATAATGCATGTGCAGACATACAGGAGGAACAGATTTTTCCTCTTCTAAAGGGAAGGTGTAGGTTTGTTGACAATTAGGCAGTGTGAATTCCAGAAGTCCAACAGCAGTGCAAATATTAGGCAATGTTTCTGCAGGAATGTGTTAGTGATTGTGTTCTACATTAACTGCGTCCACATCAGGCAGTCCACAGAAGTCGGTAGATTTCAGAGACAAAATGCCTTCTACTGTCTTGGCGATGCTCTGCAGAACTCCACTATGTTCCACTCCACTTCCACCACAGAACTTTTGTGTAGCTATTAGATCTTAGTTACAATTTGCTCATAATTTCTAGAGAACAGCTCAGTGTGTGCTATGGGACTGTATGAAGCGATTTTAAAGGGATTCATCTGGTGTTCCAAACTCTTCTTTCAGCAGATTCCTACCTCTGTCTCAAAATCCATATTAAGAATCCGGTCAGCCTCATCCATCACTAGGAACTTCAGAGCACGTAAGTTGAAGCCCTTTGTGTTCTCCAGATGATCAACTAGACGGCCAGGGGTTGCTACCAACATCATGAGAGTAAATTGAATTAAAGCAAAGGAAAAGTAAGATCCAAACAGGCAACACAGTCATCCACTACAGAAATGGAATTTTTTGCCCAAGAAAAGTAAAGGCAGATTGCTTTGGGGGAATAACTCTTTCATAGGATATCTTCAGAGAGTGTTTTGAAATACGACTAATGAAGTCAGACCCTCAGAAGAACGTTCTCCCCCTAAAAAAACGCAACACAAAACAGACTGTAGATGAGCTGCACTGCAAAGGATGAGACCAGGATTTGAAATACTTGAGGAGAATGAAAAGCAAGCCAAAGGAGGTCTTGCAGGAATGCTTTGAAATGAGCTTGTAGCAGCAGTTACTGGTGTATACTTTAGAAACATTAACAAACCAATACTTAGATTTCAGGACAAAAGCAAATGAAGGATGTACTCTCACAAAACCTTCTGGCTGTCTCTCTTTGGGTAACTGCAGTTTGATAATATTCATACTCCATATCCCCAGCACATTAACTTACCGATTATAACATGTGGTTTCTTGGCTAAAGCCAGCGATTGAGACATTGTGTCAATTCCACCCACAATAACAGCTGCAGGATAAATAGAATGTAGTGAATCCCTCAGTGGAGCACCAGCCAGCCACTGGCTGTGTTTACACCTACTCCCCACCACCCACAACAATGCTGTACAAATGAAAGACTACTTATTTTTATGAGAATTGATAAGAAGTCACTTAACTGTATGGCATAAGAGACCTGGGAAGGTCAGGTATGCTAAAATAAAGTCCTTTATGGACTGGCCCCAGGTATTTTATTTTCACAGGCAGAATCTGTTCCTTGCAGCTTAACTCAACTAGAAAAATCTAGAAATTCGAAAAATACCCATAAAACTATTATTATTGGTAGTAATATAATAATAATAACAACAATCATGGGAGTATCTAAAGAATCCATATAGACAATCTGAAGGAAAGATTAAACTACATCACACTACAGCGGGGAGCTCTATGCAATTTCACTGGACACAAACCTAATATTGAGAACATTCCCTTTTACTTCCATCTTTAACTGTTTAGACATAAAACGCAGAACAGCCACAGACTCCTCCACGAGGAAAGACCACAGAGTCTTTTGCAAACCTGATACCAGATCCCTGTCTGGGATCACAAGCTTTTCTCACTTTTTGTTCAACCCTCCATACAAATCCTCTATCTTTAACTTTGCAATCCTGACCTGACAAACTTCAGTCTTCAGAAAAACTGGTCCAATATCAATAAGCTACTTACTAGTTTGGACACCGATGGAGGATCCCAGAGCTTCAAACTGCTCTGAGATCTGAAAGGCCAGCTCCCTCGTTGGTGTGAGGACAAGAGCAAACAGCCGCTGAGGCGTTTCCAGCAGTGCTTGAAGAATTGGCAAGGCAAAAGCTCCTGTTTTTCCAGAGCCAGTTTCTGCCAGTCCAATGACATCTCTGCCTACAAAGAGCAGCAAGGAAGGCAATAAACTGTTACACATCTAGAACAGAGAAAGAAGCCTTTAAAGCACTGTGCAATAAAGCACAAGAATTCCCTAAGGACAGAGAAAAAAGGAAGACACACAAGGTAAAAAAGAACAAGGGATCAAACCAAAGAATTTCAGTACAACTCTGAAGCATTTTTAGACTGTGATTTCATTTGTGCAATAACTGCAGTCTCAATACTCAACTCTCTAGTTAAACTTCTGCTAATATAGAGGGTTTCATACAAACTTTAAAATAAGTTTTATTTTATTATGTCTCAAATCTGCCTGTCGATTTACAGCTTAATGGCTCTATCTTGATATCCTAGTCCAAATGCTGTCTCTTTACTGGCTTACAAGGAAACAGACTCCAGTGTCTGAGACTGGCACAGGAACTACAAGACAATAGCACCACCAAACTCAAATTTCACAAACCACAACTGTGCCATTGATTAATGAATCTAAATCAGTTTGCAGCAGGAAGGGTTAGAACAGCAAGTCCTTTGCCCAAAAACTGTGCAGGCAACAGGGTGGAATTAATCAGTAGACCTCCTGAGTTTGTACAGTTCAGAAGAACATGCCACCAACCTTACACTGGAGACAACTTCTCAGGAATGCAGTCTTACTTTTGGTTGGTTTTGGGTTTTTTTCCCCAAGAGAACCTTATATGTGGAATAAAAGAGTCTGACAACAGTTAAGTACTAGGGTAGAGTAGATACTGAAAGTTTGTTCCCATTCTGTCACTACATTGTTCTGTTCCTGCTTCACAGTATTTTGGAGGGTTTTGTTTTAAAATAAAACCATTCTAGAGGCAGAAATGTTTGCTGAACTCAGTAATTTATTTTCTTGTAATTCCAGGAAGCTTAGAGAAAGTCACTGTAGTTTGGTTATTACACACTTCAGGAACCTAATTTCAAAGAATTGCCTGCTCACAGCAAAGCAGATCATACATGCTACAGGATCAGCCAGGGTTTCACACACATACACACGCACACGCAGTGTCTGAGACTGTAGGTCTCTATCAGAAGAGGCACAGTCCAAAACCTACTGGAAACCTCCTGTGTATCCTTGGGTACTTCAGAAAGAAAATGGTCAATTCAGACTAACAGCTCAAATGATTCATAATATTTCTATTTAACATGGAGTGTCAGAACTAAACAACGAGAGCGAACACGCAATAAACCATGTTTGTACCCACTTGAAAGTTTGGATTGTGGGCAGTGTTATAGGATAAACTAGTATTCCAAGTGCCACATGAGTAGGACACAGAATGAACACAAAGACTACTTCTAGACAGAGATCCTCAACGATGAAGAAGTTGGGACACACTCATCCCTGCCCCTTCTCACTCAGTAAAATTCATTCACATAGAGCTCCTGGAACACTCCTCAATTCAGAATCAAAGAAGCACACTGCTCACCTTGGAGAGCCACTGGAATAGCCTCAACTTGGATCTTCGTTGGCACCTTCCATCCCAACTGGTCACAAGCTTCACACAGCACATCTGTCACTCCCTGAACATTAGTGAAAAGGGAAACAGACATCCCCAAGAAGATGTAAATTAAATTACAGACTAAAGTTAAATACATGCTGCAACAGAGCCAAGCTTGTGTCTAGTACAAACCAACCCCATCATGCCCCCAATTCAACCAGCTGAAAGGGCAGGCTGCCCACAGTGATCCCCACCTCCATCGGTAACTTCGTAGGATTTGTTCAACACAGTTAGAAAGGACTGTCATCAGGAAAAACATAGTCCGTTTTACCCTAGTTTACACATGTAACTTTACACACACACGGAACTGTCTCTCGTCACCTCAGGGGGTGTCCCATGGGCACGGGACACGAAAAACGCCTGGGCAGTTTAACAGAACTGAAAATAGAGGCAGCTGGCTGAGGAGCGCTGATCGGAGCAGCAAGGGCAGCCTGTCCTGGCCAGCGGCGCGACTCCCACCCCTGCTGCCCGGGCACGGCAGCGCCGCGCCCCCACCGACCGCCCGCACGTGTCCGCCCGCCGGCACGGCGCTGCGAGGGAGCTCCCCGCGGCCTGGGCTGCGCGCCGGGGGCCGGACGGTGCTCCTCGGGACAGGAGAGCGAGCACCGGGGGCAGAAGCGGCTCCGTCCCAGCCTCACCAGGTCCTTGAAGCTCCGCAGCTCTTCCACCGCCGCCTCCGGCTCCGGCTCCGTCCCCGTCGCTCCCTCCTCCTCTCCCGCGGCCATCTTGGAGCGTCCCCGCCCGCGGCGGCGCAGAGCACGCTGGGAGCTGTAGTCCTCCTCCGGGGGCGATGGGATTTGTAGTTCCGCCGAAAGAGCCCGCCGGAGCGGGAGGGTTTGCCCGAAACCCCGAGGGGTCTCCAGGGAAGCGCGACTTGCGGACCTACAGCCACCTGTCCGGGGACAAGAGCACGCTGAGTTAGCTGTGTGAAAACCTTCCTGCCCGGCATTGACAGCAAGCAGCTAAGCCTCAGGCCCGCAGCTCTGCATTGCTTAGGCAGTGGGTGATGGTGCTCTGCACTTGTACATTCTACAGTTGGGAGAGAACAAGGCAAAAGGAGCTGAAAAATAAACGAAAGTACAAGAATATATATAAGCTTACATATAGAATACATATAAAGAGCAAATTAACTTCTTCAGAAGTGTTGGTATGAAACATTTTGAAGCACTAGCAAAGGGAAAAAAAAAAGAACTGTCATTATCCCACCTTGTTTTCCTGTTTATGGTAATTGCCAATGTGAATTTTTGAAGTGCCAGAAATACAAACTAAAGTGAACTATGGCAACTTACAGCATAAAATGAGAGAATAGGGGATGGGAGTAGATGTAAACCCTCTCCCAGCTCTCTTGACCACTGCTGTTGTGACTCAGGCCTGCAAGTGTTCAGTGAGAGGTGAAAAAGATGATGCATTTATTGACCTTCCAGGAAGCGCAGCATCAAAATGTCATGTCTTGATGGAAGTTTCTGGGATCTGGTTTCCATGTGCTCTGGGTGTAGCCTCTGATCTGTGTCCCAATGCTGATTGCAGCAGGGCAACCTTGCAGCTAGGGGAGTTTCCTTTGTTTTAGGGAAAAGAAAGATAACCTGTGCAAGAGCTCAGGCTTCAAAAGGACAGCAGAGCTGGCTACAAAATGAAACTCATGACTGAATGCCTGAGCAGGCCTCCCTCTCTCTGGGAAGGCCATCTGGGTGTGCTCTCAGTGGAAATGCTGATGTACTCGGGCACGTGTCACTGGATTCCAAGCGTGGCATTTCCTCTGCTCCCAGAACAATGAGGAAAGTGAGAGACAATATGAACAAACTCTGCATGACATGGAAAGGAGAGGAAACCTGAAACAATTCATGGGCAGGAGTGGAAATGAAACTTCTGCATCCCACAGTGCTCAGAAGCAATGATTTTAAAATAATAAATTAAAACAAACAAAAATAAGCACCCCATGTAGATGTGGCCACGTTTCAAAAATTACAGCAGTCTGAGCTATGAACTTGCTATATATCGTTAGTGCTAAAGGCTAAGCCTGGCTGGCACTTTGACATGAACCCTCGTAAGGGTCACTGGGATGCCTCAGGAAACCAAGGATGTGACAGGAAGTCACCGCTTGTGATTCTTTGTTGAACTCATTGCCCATGTAATATGATACTGTTCTAAGGGGGAGGAGGGTGGAGCAATTCTATTCTGGTGAAATTCCAGTTTATGTGATTCCCTTTTGTAAATAGATGTATTTGAATGGGAGTTTTCTCCTGTCCTAAACTGCTGTTGGGAGCATTCATGTGTGATAAAATATATATGCAGCTTCTAAATAGTAATTCCTGTTTTGTGCTTTTCAGCACAGGACACTGTCAATTATACCAGATTTAGAAATTTTCACCCCATGGCTTTTAAGCTTGGCTTTTGACCAAATATGCTCCTAGGTCTTTTGCATGTTACCCCTCAGTCTTCCCTGAGGGTGACAGGGCCAGAGCATCTGCAGCAGACGAATTTCAGTGCAGATACAATGTCAGCTATTTCATAAGGGATGCATAATAAGACAAGATGGACAGTGTGTACAGTAGGTCACAGTTAATGGTAATCGGTCTTGTCTACCCACTGGAATGCCCAGAGAGAGGCTATTGGGATATTCTGGCTCCGTGCTTGCACTTGGACTCCTTTGTCATAGACACCTTTTCTTATACTTTCAAAGCATACTATAGGGCTTTGCATTGAAATTATATTTGCATTCCTGCTTCACCATTGAATTATTCCTCCCTGCAATAGTTTCAATTAAAGGGGAGTAAAAATGGCTTCAAGAGGCCAGGCTTCATTATTGCTAGCCCAGGCTAAACATCAAATCACATATATACCGTTCTCCCCCTGCTGCCTAGCTTCCAAAGGAAGAGTTCCACAAGCACATCTACTATGGAGGGTAAGTAACATAACTACTAGCAAAAAAGTTGCTTATAGAAGACACTTCCCCCCAATGTTGCTTGTGATTCTAAGAGAGTCACAGTACTGAAATTAATACTAATATTGGATTGGGTGTGCTCTACCCCAGTCCAGATCACTCACCTGCTTTCTTGGTACCAGCTCTGGTGCTCCTCTGACCCATCAGTGAGTTATTTCAGTGAGCAAAAGGAGTAAGAAATTAATCTTACTCCCAAATATGGCAGATTTCTGCCAGCACAGTTCCCAAAGCTGGCTCCTCTGGGTATCACATGAGATCCATTGCTGACTGTGTGGGAGGACAGAGGATGGCATGCTCAGAGCTGGGTGAGGAGGATCTGACCACCTCCTGCCCTGTCTGCTGACAAATCAAGTGTAGCTGAGGTGTGAGGGTGCAGCTTTAGATTTGCAGCATCACCTGGCTTAGAAGGTGTCCAAGAGCACTGGACAGGTTTTGGGACAAAGCAAGTCTCACAGCTCCTCTGTCTTGTGTAGGATTACATATCGTCAAGCCTGTGGGCCCCACTTTCTGCCTGAGCCTCCCTTTGTGTTTTCCTTGCAAACAAACCTGGAGAGGGGAGTGGCTGAGACCTAGCCAGGAGAGTGTGGTATCAAGCATATCAATTACACTTGCATAGCAGCACTGTACAACAAAACCAAATCCTGATTTGTAGCGAACAATTAGCCTTGTGAAAAACTGAACAGAAGCAGGATTGTTTGCCTGTGTGATGGAGAACGGAAGCAAAAGTATCTGATTTGTTCCCAGCTGCAGAAATGCTGGCTGTGATTGCAGAGAGGGATTGTGCTGAGCAGCGCAAACCAGCCCTGCTGAAGCTCTAAGCTACCAAGTGCAGATCCCTCTGCCAATCAGATTGGTCCATTCAGAGCTGTTGTTCTTGTGTTGTTTCTTGTGTTCTTGTGTTGTGTGTGGACAAAACTGCATTGTCGGAAAACTAGGGAGCAGGTAGGATAAGTATATGTTACATAATCGTCTCTATGATGATAAAACCAGAAGCATATTAAAGTTGTAACTGGTCTGATAGAGTTAAGATAAGATGGAGTTATTGAGTAAAGATGGAGTCATTGGTGATAAACTGAAGCATTAGGAAAAATTTTGCATTGTGTCTGCCTTTGCATAGTGTGCAGTTCACACTCTAAAACCACGATTATGTGCTCAGATGAATGTACCTCAGTGTTTGCATGTCAGAGCCCAAAATCCACAGTGTACATGTGCAATGTGCATACCAGCATGTGCACTCACACAGACATAAAAACATACACTCATACACAAATGCCAGCTGTGTGTGACATGGAGCTGATGACCTCACTCTTATCCTTGCCTTCTGAACTGCTCATATGGATCCCTGACTTCAATCTCTGGGGCATGAAAGCCGGTGGGCAGGAAGGTGATCACATGCCGGTGTGCAGAGAAACACTGACACAAAAGTGCTTCATATTCATTTAATCGAATCAGCAGTGTACTTGTTTATTTCTGGTAAACAGGCACAGGTATTACAAGCATCTGAGTCACACTCTGAGGGACTAAAGCTTTTATTCTTCCTATGTATAAATGTGAATGTTGATGTAATGAGAATAAGAGACAAAAAGGGCAAGGATTCAAGCTTTGTGAGCTGGAGTCTTGCTCTTCCTAAGAATTTGGTTAGGGTTACAGAATTACATAGTGGGTTCTTTGATCATTTTGATTCATGCCTGTGCAGGGAAGTTTCCCTTTTCTGCTGGGGCATGCTTTTGGAGGTGGAGTTATCCCTGCATTAACTCTTCTGTTGCCTCAAGCTAGTTTCAGGGTCTCTTCCTTGTACCTCTTCCAGGTACTGACATGATCCCCATCATCACAATACTTGAGCGCTTTCTGGTCTTTGTCCCAGAAACATTTTTGTGAGGTAGGGAAGTGCTGCTATCCCCATTTTTAAACAGGGAACTGAGATACTGAGGGTCAAAAATCACAAAGGTCATATTTAGTGGAACAGTCACTTAAAACAGGGTCTCATTCCTAGCTCCTGCTCCTGCTCTGCCACTACTCCTCTGTACCCCTCTTGAATATTAGTACCAGTATATATTTCTCTAACATGAAACCTTCCCTGGGAAGCATTGCTAGGAATATGTGTACTTCTCCATGAGTGCTGCCTCCTTCCTCACAGATAATCCACTGTGGGTCTCACAGGCTGCTTGACTGCATGGAGACTGGCACCTCCTCATCTCTGATGTGCTCCCATCACAGCTGGGCTCCAGCTCAGACCAGTAACACCAACCCACGCTTCCCTTCCTGCCGCAAGAGTTGTAACTGCTTTCTTCTACCAATGTCCCGAGGCAGACTCTGATCCCAGGGTCACTGACCTGTTTTTCTTTCTGTTCCTCAGATCTGTTGCCACCAGTTGATCATGTTTCACCTATTTTTTAACTATCAACACTGAGGTCTTACTTTCTTTTCCTACAGGGACTTGCCCTCCCTCACAGCCACATAGCAGGTAACTTGCTCTCACATGCCACAGACTTGCTTTCACTCAAAGAACTGCTTTCCTTTGGAGCAGAGACATCCTTTTTAAAGAAAGAACTATATACACCCTTAAATACAATATCAAAACCTTAAAATAATCCTGTGTAAATAAATAGAACACAAACATCACAATTTGCAGTCTGGAGAGGTTCCTTCAAAACAGATAACAAATTCTGGCCTTGCTATTTCACCCTAGGATGATGAACCATCCATACAGTCTGTCATATCTGGAGCTGCTTCTTCCTACAGCCTTTCCAGATGTACCTTGGTAATGGGACTGTACTCTATTGGAAATTGGC